CTCCAGGCGGGCTGTCATGTGCCTTTTACTGAGGAGTGGCTTCCGTCTGGCCACTCTACCATACAGACCTGACTGGTGGAGTGCTGCAGAGATGGTTGTTCTTCTGGAAGGTTCTCCTCTCTCCACAGAAACACCGGAGTGACCATCGGGTTCTTGGTCACCTCCCTGACTAAGGCCCTTCTCCCCTGATCGCTCAGTTTGGCTGGGCGTCCTGCTCAAGGAAGAGTCCTGGTGGTTCCAAACTTCACCTTCCTGTGAAAGGAAGAAGATGAAACGTAAACAGGTGTTTTTCAGAGGCGTGCTCTGCCCTAAATTTGACATGCCCCAAAGCAGTGGCGTTGTAGCGTTGCCAGCGGCACTGAGCGCAGATTTGACGCTGTAGTGGAAACACACCGTTAGTCAAAAGTGTCGGCGTTCCACTCGGTCTCGGAGCGCGCGCACAAAAAAAACTGCTTGCCAACTGTTAGTGTGAACTTGAATTTTCTTTCGCGGCTTACTGCACTTATAAAAAGTGTAATTTCACCCAGCACATCACACTCTTTTACTCAACCATTCATCCATGCTTCTTTTCCCACTCCCAACGTTTTCCCTCTAAAATCTGCACGGATATATTTGCTTACACTGATAGGCCTTTTTCTATGTAAATGATTTAGAAAAAGGTCAGTCAATTCACACTTTATTGAACTATTCACACTTTATATCATCGCCACGATATGTATTGTAATATCACCCAGCCCTGACATGAAGTAAAACATTAAACACATTTGACAAGCTAGTTGATAAAAAAAATCAACCGATTGACTATCAACACTGATTGGCTAACGCTATTTTCCCTTGTTGGTGCTCTTTTATTCTTTCATGTTAACTGAAGGCTGAAACCTGAATGATGCACTATTTTAACTTTAATCAGCAAGTATAATTGACCATGACATCCTCACCTTCTCTTATTCCAGTAAACGTCACTCACCCAACACTGAATGGAGTTGTACAGCTGCAGTCAGCATGATGAATGCTGGGGAGGGGGCGTGTCTGAACTAGTTGATGCACAAAATCAGCACCCTGATAAAGAGCTTGACTGGCACAAAGTATTTTATGTATTTTGAAAATACAAAAAAAAAAATATATATATATATATATATCTTAAATCTATTTAAATGCAAATTACATTTGATTCCCCCCCCCCAAAGGCTTTAAAATACAAAATAGTATTTTGTATTTCAAATACCTATTTTAAATACATGTATCTGAAATATTGCCCATCCCTGCAGACAGGCATGTAAAAAAAAATGTTTCTTTAGTTTTAAATTGTACATTCTGGTCACCAAGTCATGCTAAGCCTGTTTCTGCCACAGGATAAAAAAATAAATAAAAAGGAAATTGCAACATTTTATCTTAAAATTGAGAAAAAACTCAGAATTGCGAGATATAAACTCAAAATTCTGTAAAAAAAAGTCAGAATTGTGAAATATAAAATAATATAATATATAAAATAATATATAAAGCCTTGTGAGATAAGAAGTCACAGTGGTGGAATAAAAAACAGAATTGCGATGAATTTGTTTTATTTTTTATTCCATATTGGAAATGGGTTTCCATATATATATTAGTATAAATAGTATAGTTGAATAAATACATTTCATAAATTTGAATGATTATTGTGGATAATAAGAAACTGAATTAATTGATTACATTTGTTTTGGCATAGTCCATTCATAAAAGTTTGCTGAAACTAACTCTACATTTGCTAAGGCATACAGTCTTGTTAAAGCAGTGTTTCTCCTCTAGCCTATACCTCCTGGTGCTTATAAAGGTTTGTTTTCACTTCTCTTATTTTCACAGATGGTTTCTGGCCTGAGCCTCCTTAACTCCCCAAGAGAGCTTTGATAAAAGTCTCATTAACTCACTTGAAGTAGTAGGCAAGTTTTTCATCAGGTTTGGCATAACTGTTTTACAGCTGACTTTGTCTTTTATCAGTAAGTTCACAACAGTTCAAGAGTAAGTACAATTAAAGTGAAGTCATAAAACTTTATGATTTTACTATATCACAGGCCGATGGCTTTATCTGTCAAAATATAGGGCATTCAATAAATTAATCTTTCTGAGAAGTGCACTCATTGACCAGTTAACAGTGAGATGTTTTTTTTAGCATGATAATATTAGAAGGTTAGTTCACCCAAAAATGAAAATTAGCCCATAAATTACTCACCCTCAAGTAATCCTAGGTGTATATGACTTTCTTCTTTCAGACGAATCGGAGTTATATAAAAACTGGTCTTTGATCTTTCAAGCTGTTTAATGCCACTCAGCGGGTGTTGCATGCATCAGTCCCAAAGAAGTAAAATAAAAAGCGCCCATCCATAAAAATAGTGTCTCACACGGCTCCGGGGGGTGAACAAAGGCCTCCTGTAGTGAATCGATGTGTTTTTGTAAGAAAAATATCCATATTCAAAACGTAATAATCACTTTAATGTAGCTTGCACCAACAGTTGTAATAATTCATTACATTTATATAGCGCTTTTTCTAGGCACTCAAAGCGCTTTACATGGTCAGGGGGGTATCTCCTCATCCACCACCAGTGTGTAGCATCCACCTTGATGATGCGACGGCAGCCATAGTGCGCCAGAACGCCCACCACACACCAGCTTATTGGTGGAGAGGAGACATAGTGATGAAGCCAAACAGTAGATATGGGGATTGTTAGGAGGCCATGATGATCAGAGGCCAATGGGCAAATTTGACCAGGGATTTTTAATGACCACAGAGAGTCAGGACCTCGGTTTAACGTCTCATCCGAAGGATGTACACGGAAGCAGTTCCGGGCGGATGACGTATGAGGTCGGTGTTGCGTATGCGCCGCTTGGAAGTGACGCACGTGAAAACGCAGGGGAGAGATCAAAACAAAATAACGGTCACTTATTAGAAGTACAAAACAAGGATTTGTAAAGAAGAATGTCGGAGGATTTCAATATAAGCCAAGAGGAGACTGCTTGTCCTTTGCTAAAGTAATGAAACTTTGCTTCCTTTGCTCCTGTTAACAAACATAGTTTTTTACGAGACTCACTGGCGCATGCGCAACGCTGACCTCATACGTCATCCGCCCGGAACTGCTTCTGTGTACAACAGCACAAGAACAAGGCGCAAGCTATACATTAAAGTGATTATTACGTTTTGAATATGGATATTTTTCTTACAAAAACGCATTGATTCGCTACAGGAGGCCTTTGTTCACCCCCCGGAGCTGTGTGAGACACTTTTTTTAATGGGTGGGCACTTTTTATTTAACTTCTTTGGGACTGATGCATGCAACACCCGCTGAGTGGCATTAAACAGCTTGAAAGATCAAAGACCAGTTTTAATATAACTCCGACTGTATTTGTCTGAAAGAAGAAAGTCATATACACCTAGGATGACTTGAGGGTGAGTAATTTATGGGCTAATTTCATTTTTACGTGAACTAACCCTTTAGGCACTCAAAAGCTTGAATGTGTCCTACAGGGACATTGTCAAATGGACATTCTGCCACATTTGTAAAATAAAGCTTTGTTTAACCCTGGGGGATGCAGGCATTTGAGAGGCTGGGGGAGGGTTATTCTTAAGAATAAAGCTTCTTTATAGACATTTATGGTTTCATAAGACTCTTTAACATTCATGGAACCTTTCCATTGTACAAACAGTGAAAAAAGTTATTTAGCTTAAAATGTTCTTTGCACTAAGAACAATCTTTTAAGAGCTGTTCACTGAAAGGTTCTTTAAGGAAACCCAACAACGGCTCACCACCTTTAGCAGCAACACGGCAGCCTGCTGTGCAGGCCAGTGACCTCGAGGTATGTTGATATCTGTTACATGTTATAATAAAGTAGTTGTCTCTGAGGTATTCTCCAGTCCTTTTTAGGGTTAAAATAGGTACTAATGTTGGTAATTCAGTTTCCTAAGTTACACAGTTGTTTTATTCTAGTCTTAAATTACTCCAGTGATACAATCAGCAACTTGGGAAACTACGCCCATTTCCAGTGAGTTATGATGACTCATAAAGTGACAGTAAGCCCTATAAGAAATATCCAAATAGGTCTATTTGACTTTGTAACATAAAATCAACAAGAAAAAAATATGTAAATGCATATTAAATATGGCCAAACTAGCCTTTGGGGTTAGGATTTAGGGGCCTATAGGTAAAATATTAACAGGTTTATAAAAAAAAAAAATCATAACTAATCATCATAGTGCCAAACAGCTTCACAATTCTTACACAGAGCTTTATTTTCTGTGGTAGTGGATGCGACCGACATCAGATTTCCAGCGTGCTCCCTTTAAATAAACTCCGCCCCGAAATCAGTCGATCAAATTCGGCATCACACTTCTGAGCCCTCGGCCAATCACGTTCGTCCGGGGGTGGTCTTAGGACGGTGGTCCGGGAAGACGTCATCCAATAGAATCGCGAGCTCCTCGGACAAACGGAACGCGACCGTCGCTGCTTACCCTGCGAGCCGCCCATTATTCATGTGCATGCACCAGTGATTTAAGGAGACACGACAGTAGATAGCGGAACGCAAATTAAGACCTAACGGTCTCGCGGCTGTCCTTTAAAAACACAAAAACGCCCCGCTGAGTTGTAACGTCTGTTCCAGTGGCTTCGTCAGCGCAGTTTTATTGTTTGTTAGACAAGTTTGTATATTTTAACTGCACATATATCCAAATGAAACACTTTATGTACTATACTAATACACTGATACACTGCTAGAGTGTTTGGGATTAGGCTAGATACGGAGTTGTACAGTTTTACAACGAAACATGAATTATATCTGCCGTTCTGCAGGTTTGCTGTTAGTATAACACTTATTTGTCTTTTTCTTGGCCTGAAGGTTGCTAAGCTGCATATATATATATTTATGCACACACATAAATCCCTTTTGAAACCCCCTTTAAATTGTGACCTCAGCGCAGAGGGAGGTTTAACACGCCCCTAGGTCCAAAAACTGTTTCTCTTGCTTGACTGGCTTATTTGAATCCAGTGAGGGAGGAGGACAAGACCTCCGATCCTCTGCGTTTAGAGCCGATAGTGTCTTAACTCAGCATCCGAGAAACACTCCCGCTAATCGCACATCACTGGGGTCTGTGCGCCGACTTCCCAAAGACAGACAGACGGACAGACAGACAGACAGACAGACAGACAGACAGACAGACAGACAGACGGGGGGAGCGATTCTGGCTTCGAGACTATCCGAGTAGAAGTTCGGAACAAGAGGAAATACAGAGAGATAGATAGAAAGAATAGTAGTGTTATTTTTTCCTCCTACAAATCAGCCAGTTTAAAACATCAACAACAAAAAATGACTAGAAGATCGTGTGCCATTTACGCCACCGGAATACTGTGCGCTCATTTGCTTATTGTGGGAATCGCCCTTCTGGTGGCTCAAGTCTTCCAAACAATGATTCAAGAACGGATAAAAAAGGTAAGTCTTTTATAAAGTGTTTAATTCCACGAAAACCCCGTGTTCCGTTATAAACCGGCTTTTAAAGCGACCCAGGGCTGCTGCTGCTGCTGTCCTGCACGAGGCTTCTGTGTTGAGCATCACGCGGAGTTGCTAATATCACTTGATGTAAGCATTGCGAAATCATGCAACAAACAAGCAGAATAATGGCATATCAGTCTCTTGACAAGTGCACGTTCTTCCTCGCGGTGAGAGCCAGACTACACAATTTCATGTTATGTACACTCAAAACCTGTCTTTTGGCCGTTTAATGCCCCCACTTTAGCGTGTAGGTGGTCAAAACATGATATTAAATTACCGTGATGTAAATGTGGGTTTGTTAGTAACCCTGATTAAAGTGGGCTGACCACGAAGCCTATCATATTGCGGAAAATACCTTTTTCTCTCTCTCTCTCTCTCTCTCTCTCTCTCTCTCTCTCATCCACCTCAGCAGTGGTGCTGTCTGTGTGTCTATGAATGAAATGCTTTCCGTTGCAAAATACCGGAGTGAATCCCTCTTCTTTAATGTAACGGGGAAGGTTATGTTAGCATGTTAATGGCAGGGGGAGGTGTGCTGTATGTGTGGCTGTGGGGGAGGGTCTCTGTCGGTTCTCCTTGGAAAAATACTTGGAAATCTGACCTCCGTATTTTTAACCAAGTGTAGTATTCAGTGTTCAATGGATTCCCTTAACCTGGAGTTCATGGCTGGGTGTTTGTCAAGTTAATTCAAAGCCTTATAACTGACCTTCATGATAAACTGTTTCACCTTTCATATTCAGCAAGTCATGTCTGGCACTCAAATATCTCCCATTGAGCCGTTAGGCTTAAGTTCTCTAGACAAAACAACTTTTTTTCAAGCCCTCAGGTGGTGTGTGTGTGTGTGTGTGTGTGTGTGTGTGTGTGTGTTTGAGTAGGGCGTGGAGTGGGTGGCATGTTTCAGGAGTTTCTACATGTGAAGCAGTATGTAGTTTTTCTAAAGAGCGTTTCATCTGTGTTGACAGGTAAAACTTCCTTTTAGCTCAGGTTAAAATTAAAATTCACATGCTCTGTTATGTAAAGCAACACAAAAAAACATTTCCAGTTGCTGCTACCAACATAAGCAGAAGACTGGATCTGGTATCTGCTTTTGTAATGTTGACTACTTCCACGTAAAGGACAAATGATCTCACTGTCTAAATACAAACATGTATTGTTTTTCTTACCTTGGCTGTAGTTGCTGGATCAAGGCTTTGAACATTTTAACTAGTTTGATGTCCTTGTGACCTTCAAAGATCTGTCTTCTCAAGGTTGCTGAGCACAGCAGTTGTGTCTGAAGGTTGATGCAGTAGTTTGTTTTCTGTAATCATTTAAAAAAAAAAAAAAATTCATAGTAATATTCAAAATGGATTCCATAGAATAGTTGTAAGAAAATCTGTAAAGAATGTAATCATGTACACTACCATTCAAAAGTTTGAGGTCAGTAAGATTTATTTTACATTATGACAAAAAAAAATCTTTTTCAATCAAACTTTCTATTCATCAAAGAAGAATATTTTTGATTTCCACAAAAATATTAAGCAGCACAACGGTTTTCATAGATAATCTGCAGCAAATCAGCATATTAGAATGATTTCTGAAGGATCATGTGACACTGAAGACTGAATGGCTGCTGAAAATGTAGTTTTGTCATCACATCACAGTTTTTAAAATATAATATTATTTCACAATATTACTGTATAGCCCTTTTGATTAAATAAATGCGGCTTTGAAGAGCATTAGAGACTTAAACATTAAAAAATCTTACCGACCCCAATTTAGCGTATGAGTACTTGTTAAGGTGTGGTCTGGTGGTTTTAGCCAATTAAACTTTAACTGTTGTCTATAAGCTAAAATGCATTGCTTCTTTTAAGAACAAAATCCTTAATTTTTAACCAGGTGTAATTAACAACTGTTAAATTTAATATGGATTAAAGAAAATATGCCCTGACAAACCTCCTGAGAAACCATGAGAGATTAGAAAAGAGAGTCAGGTTGTGACGCAACATAATCTTACTTTAAAGAAAAGCTTTAGTCTGATTTCACTACACATGATTGAACAAGTTGAATAGCTGCAGATTTTCTTTACCGGTACTTTACTTTGTGGAAAAGCACAGGGTTACTCCTAATGACAGAGATCCCATTCAGAGCTTACATGTGGAGGGGAAAAAACTCTGTTCAAAAGACAGGTGTACTCTTAAATGATATGACCTGTTTGAACAAAGACACCTTTATGTTATTCTCTGGGTCATAATAAATTAATGTGCCATTTGTCATGAATCGATTGGTGATTTGCAGATCATGACACAGATCATATGTTAGAATGATTGATTTTTTTCAACGTAAGGCACTTCTTTAACCATCTGTCCAGTGATTCTAGCAAATCACTTTCCTGAAAGGACCTTTCAGACGCTGAAGGTCCAGTGAAGGGGGCCGTGATGTTTGTTGTTTTGGAGCGGCTGCTCTGCTACACTGCTGAAGTCATGGCTTTTGATGCCAGATAGCATTATCTGCATTCTGCTGATAAACCGTCTGGTTGTTACGAGTTTGTCACGAGTCACCCTTTGGAGACTCGTTTTGTCTATTACTACACAATTTTGTGCTGTCACGTAGTCATGATGAATGACGTGGTTCTGAAGGTAGTTTGTCATTTCAAAATAAACCTTGTTCCTCCTTCTGAGTTCAGATCACGACACTCGAGAAGTGAGAAGTGGGACTGCTGAACCTACTTTCTGATGGAAAATTCAAATAGCAGAGAAATGTGTTTGTGTTGCTCTCGTGTGTCGTGGATGGCTGATGTTGATGTTTTTCTTCCTCTTCTGTAACTGAATCAGCTCCACTGTCTGCTGAGGTCTTTCCCTTTTTTTTTTCTTTTTTTCCTCCTCATCCCAGCGCTCGCTTTACTTCATGTCTGTAGTATTTCTATCATAGCAGGTCATTGACACTTCACCTGAAACTTTTACGTCAATCAGCATTCAGCTTTTGTGTTCGTTCTTCCCTAAATTATATTGAAACTCAGCTTAAACATTGAGTTTAACCTCTTTTAAACAGACAGCATTTTCTGGTCTTTTAGTGTTCTCTCTTGACCGCTGACTCTGACTGTTTCATTCACAGGAGATCACACTGGCTGAGAACAGTAGAGTATTGGACGGCTGGATAAATCCACCACCACCTGTTTACATGCAGTATTTCTTCTTCAATGTTACCAATCCAGATGAGTTTTTGGCTGGGAAGGAAAAGCCCAAAGTCACTCAAATAGGACCATATACCTACAGGTGATTTACCAGTCTTTAAATATACTCAATCTTCAGATATTCATGTTCATTTTCAAGATTCTGGGCCGCCTGAAGTGTTTCGTTTTCTAAACGATACTGTCTGTTGTCAGGGACAACAAGTTTGGCACACAATTCTAGAAATGACTCATTCTTTTAGTAGAAAACAGGAAACGTTTACCTACCCACTTCAAACTAAATGTCAAATATTTGTAAAAATGCAAACTTAGTGTTTTTTAAAAAGAAATATTCCACAAGGATGCATTAAAAAAAAAAATTCTTCCGTGAGCATCTAACTGCCTCCTCGTAATAATAATAATAAAAAATTCTATGCCTTCACTTTTTCTGTTCTCTTATCATCCTCCTGTCCTAGCTTTAAGTTTTTACTATTTTGAACGATGAGTGAAACCTTGTATAACAGGCACTTCTCATGTTTATTGGCATCTTGTGATAAATCGCTTGTTGTATTCCTCAACTGTAAGTTGCTTTGGATAAAAGTGTCTACCAAATGAATAAATAAAAAAATAAATAAAAAGTGACAGTAAAGACATGAGTAATGATAGAAAAGATTCCTATTTCAAATAAATGCTGTTTATTGAACTTTCTATGAACGAATCCTGGATACAAACTTTCATTGTGTCCACAAAAATATTAAGCAGCAAAACTCTTTTCTGCATTGATGATAATAAGAAATGTTTGTTGAGCACCAATTCAGTATATGAGCATGATTTCTGAAGGATCATGTAACACTAAAGACTGGAGTAATGGCTGCTGAAAATTCAACTTTGCCATCAGAGAAATGAATGACATTTTAATATATAATAAAATAGTAAAGTGTTATTTTAAATTGTAGAATTTTACAGTATTACTGTTTTACTGTATTTTTGATCAAATATATGCAGGCTTGGTGAGCATAAGAGACAGTTGCCAATTTTGATTGTAAATTTAAATAAAGTGCTTCTTTCTGTTATCAGGGAATATCGACCAAGGGAAAATGTCACTTTCCTAGAGAATGGGACGAAAATCTTTGCCACAAATCCCAAAAGCTTTGTGTTTCTCCGCGACATGTCAGTGGGAGATCCTGAGGTTGACCGTGTGACAACGGTTAACATTCCATTCATTGTAAGAAGGGTTCTGTTATTGGCACTGAATCATTTTGCCTTTAAATTTAGTCTGCCCCTAACACTTGTTTAACTGATTATCTTTGATCCAAATGCGAAGAATTTGCTCTGAATACTTTCTCTCTTATTTCAGGCTGTGATGAACGAGTTAAACTCCTACTCCTTCTTTCTGAGGTCTTTTGTGTCTATGTGGATGGGATCCATGGGCATCGAGGTGTTTATGAATCGTGCAGTACATGAGGTCCTGTGGGGTTTTAAAGATCCACTGCTGTCCAAACTCCACACCATGAGACCAGAAGTGGATGAGCATTTCGGCCTTATGTACAATGTGAGAATCTGCAGTTTTGTCATATTCAGTGCTTTAGTCAGTCTAAATGGAGATAAAATGTGGTCTAAATGGGTCATATATTTGTGCAACCAACACAAAGTTGCACATGCAACCTCTAAAGCACATATACGATCAGAACAGGATAGGCAAATTACGTTATCATGACCCTGTCTGTCATAGACTGCAGATGTTGACAGGCTTGACACAGTGGCCTGGTTTACTCTAATGGGTTTTAGACTTTCTTTAGGGATTATATATGTATTAGATTTAGGACAGATATTAAATATCTGCAGTTTGTGCAATAGTAGGTATAATGTCAGTCCCTCGAACCAGCAAGTAATTGTTTTACATTAATAAAACATTTAGTCTTTAACTCTGTAATCATATCATGGCCGTCAAACAACATACTTTCCTACTCTCTGATGACTTCTAGTCATCTTTACCCTTATGTGACTTGTGTGACTATTTTCTGCTAATAGATGTAACATTATATTAAATACAGTTTATGTACTGACTACAGAAAAATGGAACCCATGAGGGTGAATTTGTCTTCCACACTGGAGAGAAGAACTACATGGACTACGGCAAGATTGACACGTGGAATGGCATCAGGTACCTCAATGCTTGCGTAATCTGCATTGCCTTACTGACATAGTGAGGATTCTTAGGAAATTGGGTTAAACAGCATGCCTGCATTAGATGCTAGACAAGTCAATAGTATAAAGTCTTAGAAAAAAAGCTCCTGTGCTTCTCAGTTACCCCATATCCTGATTTAAATTGACCCATTTCCCAATAAATACAACTTCAAATCACTTTGGCAGATATACACAATGGGTCAAAAGTTTGGAATAATGGCGCTTTTAATTTTTTTTTGCTGGAAATCATGATGCATTTTTCAGGATTCTTTGTTGAATAGAAAATTCAATAGAACAGCATTTATTTTAAACAGAAATCTCTTATAAATATAAACCATTATAAATATATAGTTCAGTCATGAAACTTTAGATGGCACAGGCTGACGAGTTGTTAATGTAACTGATGATATTCAGAGTTAAATGACTTGGCACAAGCTGATTGGTTCATGCTACATATGCAGCCAATGAGCTTACTGCCTTGCATTTATATGGCTGGCTAGCATTCACTAGAGATTCCTGCAGCGCGCTTTCTGAGTTTCTCTGAAACCCTCCACTTTCCCCAGCTCCACCTGTATAGATCTGCTACGGGTTATTTTATATGCTATTTGTGCAGCAGCAGTATGTCTTAAATACTCATGGCACCGTATCGCCATATGCATTGGCAGTAGCAAGTTCCTGTACGTGCTTGCAGCAGCAGCAATAACCAACAGCAGCAGCAATTCAGCAGCAGCGTTGCAGATCTGTTCTGCCAAGACCAAATACATTAACATTGTCATATCCATCACCATGTTAAATCTTCCAAGAGTCACTTTTAGTCAATTTAATGCGTCCTTGCTGAACATAAGTATTCATTTCTTTTCTTTTTTTCTTTTAAAACAGTCATTTTAAATTGTATATTTTACAATATTATTGTTTTTACTGTATTAATCAAATAAACGAGAGACTTCTTTGAAAAACCTAGAAAATTCAGTTGTTTTAAACTTTTGACATGTAGTGTATATTTTTGGATTAGAATTATGGAGAAAAATACATAAACCTTACTTTTCCATTATAACCTGTGGCAGAAACAATGGTCTTATCTATTCATTTTCTCATTAACAGTCAGATGAACTGGTGGTCGTCTAACCAGAGCAACATGATCAATGGTACGGATGGCAGTGTCTTCCACACCTTCCTGTCCAGGAAAGAGCTCCTCTACATCTTTGCTGCTGATCTGTGCCGGTAAGCAACATGTTTTAACACTTACAAGGTACTTGGTTACTTGTACATGGTTACTTACGTTCTTTATTACATGCAGATCCATTCATTTGGGTTACGTGGCTGACACAGAGGTGAAGGGCATCCCTGCCTTCCGCTTCGCCCCGCCTTCAGATGTGCTGGCTCCTCCAGATGAGAACCCCAATAACGCTGGCTTCTGCGTGCCTGCTGGGGATTGTCTAGGAAAAGGTGTCCTCAAAGTCAGCGTCTGTCGGCAAGGTAAGCCTGTTCTGGGTCACACCGCACCTTGGCTTCAGGGCCATCGTGTTTGTTGGAGCAGGTTTTTACAGTGGGAAAGATGTGGGATGTTTTCAGAAAAAGCAATTTCCTTGAATTACATGGGGAAAATAGGGTAACTTCTTAAGGCAATTTGTTTAACAAGGTAAAGCAATCTAAGTGTGCTAAAGGTTTTGGTGCCCTGAATAACTGGTGCAGACTGACATTTAACCAAAGCAAATCAAGCATGTGCATTTAGTATTGAATTTTAGGGTTTCCCCATTACTTATAGGTGGCCTCGTAACCCGAGTTCAAGTTAAATCAGTCTGCTATTGTTTGCTCACTCGTAGACTATGAAAGGGAAATCAGAGTTCAGCGCTTAATGAATAACTTTTAGTGCAATTTTATGACTCAAGCACTTGATTTGCTGAAGGTGTCCTCAGACAGATTACTCTCTCAGCCTCTATTGTTTCCGCCATAAACTAGTAGGCTTTTATTATTATTGAACGAAAGTAAACTCTCACTTTTATCATGTGAGGGCTCATGATAGGAAACAGCTGTCGAATTTTGCACATAGTTTGATTAGTCATCATTCCTAGAAGGGTTCATGACAGTTCATTAATGGTTATATTTAGAGTGTTATTAAGGAATGGGATACAGGATATAAATCAGTGATATGTTACATATTTTGTTATCTAACGATAGTCTAAGCACCTAGTAGTAGTATTTTGTGTTCTTGGTGGGTGTTCAGGTACTGGCTGTCTTGTTATTGAGTATGTGCTTAAAAAAGAGGAAGTTTAATTCTGTTAATGTGCATAAAACAACAAAAATTCCCAGGAAATGCCTCATGGGCATAATTTCAGAAAATGGAAAATGTCAAGAAACATAAGAAGTAAAATCTTAAAAACTGCAAATTTGCAGTCACCTGCTCCAGTGATGCGTTTTTACTTTCTTTGCATTTGTTGATCATTTACATGTCTTTATAACTTACAACCATAAGCATTTGCATTTGGAGAAATATATATATACTTTACCATTCAAAAGTTTGGGGTCAGTAAGATTTCTTTTTATAGAAATTAATACTTTTATTCAGCAAGGACACATTAAATTATTACAATGTTACAAAAGATTTCTATATTAATTAAATGTTGTTCTTTTAAACTTTCTATTCATCAAAGAATCCTGGAACAAAATGAATCACTGTTTCTGCAAAAATATCAAGCGCCGTTTTCAACATTGATAATAAAAAAAATGTAAGGAATAGGGAATAATTTATACATTTTAAAATATATTTAAATAGAAAATATGCCATCATATGCCATCATTTTTAAGTATATGAATGTATAGCAGTTGTGGAGTTATGTTAGGCACCTATGTTTTTTGTGGCATGGCTAGGTAAAAATCTGAACTACTGGCCTGGTTGGACAAGCATAAAAAAAACTGAGGCTTGACATAACTTTTAATTATCTTCTTTATTATCTTTATGACCAGTCATTATAAATGCAATAGCTGATAAACAGGTTGTAAACAATTATTTCATATTCATAGAGCTTTCCTAGATGGGTGCTCTACACGTGAGTGTTAACTAATCTGAATAAAGGAACAGCAACTAAAGCTTGTTTCCTGATTTTATTCCCCCTTCACTATACAGGTGCACCCATTGTTGTGTCATTCCCTCATTTTTACCAAGCCGATGAGAGGTACATCAGTGCCATTGATGGAATGAATCCAAATGTGGAAGAACATGAAACGTATCTCGACATCAACCCGGTAAGCAGTGCAGAAGTTTTGTGATTTTTACTGTTTTACTGTGACAGCACTGACCTGTTAGGGCTCTTGTGGTTTATAATCTGAAAGTTGTATACACCCGTACTTACCATAACAGGAAAAAATAAGGTGATTCACTCTGGTAACCACAAGTGAATGTGAAACCTCACCTACCTAACTCTACCTAGAATCCCAGCGATTGTTTCTGTAGCATGTCGTGATGGAAAATGTACTCATTAAGTTGCCATTTGATGGACTGATCCACATGTTGTTTCGGGTGGAACAGATCAAAGACTCTGTGTAATGTGGTGAACATTGGTTGACTTTTAATAGTAAATTGGCCCTTTTCCTCTCTTCTGCAGACCACAGGGGTTCCCATTCGTGCCTGTAAGAGAGCTCAGCTCAATGTCATACTGAAGAGAGTCCCTGGCTTTCCGTGAGTAAAATTACCTATTAAAGAATATTCTGGAATGAAAAAAAAGGCTAATGAGACATTTTTTTCCTTTTCAGCAAAACAAAATTCCTGAATGAGACAATTTTCCCCATCATGTATGTCAACGAGGTGAGCTTTCATGTAATCCTTGCTTCCTTCAGAATATAAATTTTTCTGTTCAAAAAGGTCATTTGTTTTATGCTGAATTTTCAGACTGCAACTATCGACGATGAGTCTGCAGCCCAGATGAGGACGCTTCTGCTGATTGTAACGGTGGTTTCCAACTTCCCAGTCATTATTGTGGGACTGGGGGCCATTTTATTTGTGGTCCTGATCTTCCTCGTCTGCAGGAACCGCCAGAGAAAGGTAAAAAATTTACGAGCTTATATATTGCCTAATTAAGAGTAGAAATATGACCCTGGACCACAAAACCAGTCTTAAGTCGCTGGGGTATATTTGTAGCAATAGCCAAAAAAAACATTGTACGGGTCAAAATTATTGATTTTTCTTTTATGCCAAAAATCATTAGGATATTAAGTAAAGATCATGTTCCATGAAGATATTTTGTAAATTTCCTACTGTAAATATATTAAAGCTTAATTTTTGATTAGTAATATGCATTGCTAAGGACTTCATTTGGACCACTTTAAAGGTGATTTTCTCAGTATTTGGATTTTTTTTTTATCCTCAGATTCCAGATTTTCAAATAGTTGTATCTCTGCCAAATATTGTCCTATCCTAACAAACCATACATCAATGGAAAGCTTATTTATTCAGCTTTCAGATGCTGTATAAATCTCAATTTGGAAAAATTTACCCTTATGACTGGTTTTGTGCTCCAGGGTCACATATGTCATTTAGGTAGGGTTGGGTATCGAAAACCGGTTCCATTTTAGAACCGGTTCCAAATTTCCAAGAACCGGGTATTCGATAAGACGAGTGCATTTCGATTCTGCTTAACGGTTCCTGCGTGCGCATTTTAATGTGATTCAAAATTATTTAAGTGCAGGAACGGAAATAACTTGTTTGCGTGCAGCGCACATGAAGTGCAAGCGCGAGCACAGAGAACAGAGATCGCGGTGCGGGTTCCCGGTTTGTGTCCGTTTTCGAACCGTTCTGTGTATTTCCACTGTAGAAAAGGTTGTTCCGGGCCAAAACTGACTTCTTTCATATTTGTCGACCAATATGCAGAAAACTATGTCAGTATATCATCATAAACACTGCCGTTTTTGTTTTCTTACGTGAACGTAAACAGATGAGAAAGAAAACACACATGTACAGTATTTTTAGATCTGCATGCGTTCGGTGTTAAAGAGACAACAGCCTAATAAACACGCTGCCTGTCATTAATGTTAATCAAACAGCTTTCAGATGCTGTATAAATCTCAATTTGGAAAAATTTACCCTTATGACTGGTTTTGTGCTCCAGGGTCACATATGTCATTTAGGTAGGGTTGGGTATCGAAAACCGGTTCCATTTTAGAACCGGTTCCAAATTTCCAAGAACCGGGTATTCGATAAGACGAGTGCATTTCGATTCTGCTTAACGGTTCCTGCGTGCGCATTTTAATGTGATTCAAAATTATTTAAGTGCAGGAACGGAAATAACTTGTTTGCGTGCAGCGCACATGAAGTGCAAGCGCGAGCACAGAGAACAGAGATCGCGGTGCGGGTTCCCGGTTTGTGTCCGTTTTCGAACCGTTCTGTGTATTTCCACTGTAGAAAAGGTTGTTCCGGGCCAAAACTGACTTCTTTCATATTTGTCGACCAATATGCAGAAAACTATGTCAGTATATCATCATAAACACTGCCGTTTTTGTTTTCTTACGTGAACGTAAACAGATGAGAAAGAAAACACACATGTACAGTATTTTTAGATCTGCATGCGTTCGGTGTTAAAGAGACAACAGCCTAATAAACACGCTGCCTGTCATTAATGTTAATCAAAGAACAAAAGAAAATCATTCACTGATCTTGACTGAATATATTTAATTGATTAATCTATATTTTATTTATGAAAAGGTCGTGGGGATTGGATTTTTTATCTTATTGGAATCGATAAGAATCGGAATCGATCAAATTCAAACGATACCCAACCCTATTTGTAGGTCAACAATACCTTTCCGTGGAACAATATTAATGGAGTAACAGTTAATATTCTCTTGAAATGCCAGTATGGAAAAGCCTTTAATATCCCATCAAACCTTACACACCCTAGACTAAAGTCAATTAAATGCGTCACTCACATTGACGGCACTAACCCTTGCTTTAATACCCATGCATGCACCTGCAAGAGGGAATGCATGTGCTCTAGTGAATGTATTCCTTTATGAAATGTGTTCTTTTGTTACACAGTTTTTCTTTGCAATAAAACAGTAATTATCAGTTGGGTTGGTCAACCATTGTTATGGTTCAGTGGGAAAACATTTGTTTTGCACATTTATATACTAATGTTCAAAAGTTCCTTTTAAAGAATTTATCACTTGAGATCTGCCAATGATGCATAATGCTGTTATGTTTTCATTTCCAGTAACGTTTTTCCTCCCCTTTTTTTTGTTCCAATTCAGAATGAAGTAAAACGTATTGATTTTACTGAAGCTTTTCATTCTTTTGCTGTAAGTCTTCATTTTCCCTTTTACACACATTTGGCTTTCATTTTGTTCAAATTTGCTTGTTGTATCGTTGTATTTGGTCATTTTGAGCATTATGAGTGACCATTTAAGTTAAAAGTTTTCATATGAATACCTTGTTTGTTGTTTTGAAATAACTTCTATTTCTGGAAGTCATGTTCATTGCTTTTCCTGCATGGTGATTGTAATGTACGTCTGCAGTCTTTCACCGCATTAGAGTAGATGTTTAGCTACATAGTCCATAGTGGTACGTGGTTTCATGTTGACATCTACATGTTTTTACCAATGCACACGCTAATGGTCCTGCATGTTCTGTACAGACGGCGAAAGACGAAACGGCTTATACCCAAGTGAGCAACCAAACAGAGGATTCGCCAGAGAACCGCAACAACCAGCCTTTGAGGAACGGATCTTATATCGCCATGTCACCAGTAGAGGCGCAAAAGTGTTGATGAAGAAGACTGGTGGAGTCTCACCTGAGGACATCACGTCTATCCTCCTCACCCTTTTTATATGTTAGTTTTCACTGTGCGATTCGTCTTCGGGGGCCAGACCCCGCACGCTCACCACCGTTTGCCAAGGGTCACTTATTTGACTCGTGACTTCTGTTTCCTTGAGCATGGCCTTTCAAACTGCCATATCTTCAATCAAAACGTATGTAAGCTCAAAGCACCCACTTCAGTTTCGAACAACCGTCTTCTGGGTTTCCAGAGGCTTCTGTTGCCTAGTCCTGAGAGGCCTAAAATACACTATCTTGCCTTTTGAAAATACATATATGCATTGCATGCTCACAGAGTCCATAGTTCCTGAAGGGTCATAAACCCTTTCAGCATGAGAGAGCGTGAAGAGTCCACAGCCTGTGCTTTTTAAAGTGTTTCAGATCTCTTCCCACACTACTGTCTACAGGTCTACACAGGCAGGCCTTGAACTAACACAGCTCTTCCTACGTCAAACCCTTTGATAATGAACAGATATCGGTTTACCTCCTCTAAGAGTATTAGAGAGCTAAAAGATCTAATATGCTAACAAAAAACTGGGTCTTATCCAGAACATGTGTGTGTGAGAGATTGTACATACCAGTATGTGTGTGTGTGTGTGTGTAATTATATGTGTGTGTATTTCTGCAGGCATGTCAATGCTTGCATGTTTTTGTCACACTGTGGTGAACTGCTCTGGTGGGTCACCGTCCACCGATTTGCACGATGCAGTGTGACGACAAAGTGGAAACTAGTGACTTCAGCGGTTCGCTCCATTTCACAGTATCCGAGTCACATTTATTCTGATGCCAGAAACATTTCAGTAATGCTGGCTGTTAAAAGAGATCAGACCGACTCCTTTAAAGCATTGTATTACAGAAATCATACTAGCTTTTAGCATTTCGTAACACATGTAGAACACTTAGAAGTGAGACTTGAATTTTTCTGCCTTACAACTACTTACGAATACAGTGTGATTCTACTGCATAGATGTGGCAGGTAGACGGTGGAACTAGTCGAAATGTCAGACAAATATCAGCGAATCAGTGGCGGACTTAGAACTACATCCCTCCCTTTTCACAGCAAAACACGTCTGTTCTGTAATCTCGAGGGCACAACTACAGTCCGCTGAATCCACAGTCTAATCAGAGCGGAAGGGGTTAAAGGTCAACAGGTTTTTGAGGGGTTATCGGTGAAGTTAAAAACACATTTTTTCTGTGCACGTTCGGTTTATATTTACCCTCAGTGGGCGAAAGAGACTCTAGCACTTGAATCACTGCTTGTGTCTGTTGAGATTTATTTTCGTTTTGCTTTTGCGAAGCCTTCGCTATTGCTAAAATATGAATCGAGGCCATATTTTAAATCAACTTGAACAGGATGTGATAGCTGCACACTTTACAAAATATCACTAAAGAAGATGAGTCGTCGCATGCATCTCTGTTTGTCCAAATGAATCTTTCTGGTTATCTGTCTGAAGTTGCCATAACCAGTGTGTGCAGTTACACTCGGTTATTTGAAAGTCGTATGTATCTGTAAATCATTCCCATTTTGGTGACGCTTGCTGGAATGATTGGCGTTTGTTACTTTTACTTGATGTAAACCATCTGTTACTTATTGCGACCACGGTTTTCGTGGATTGCAGTGCACATTGTTGCATATTTGCCTGTGCCATGGAATTAGCTTATCTTGAAGATTTAGTGCAAGGTTTAAACTGGAAAAGCTGTGTACTTGCGTGTCTTATGCAGCTGTATGTGAAGAAAAAAAATTTGAGGTAAAGTAATTCAAGCTTTAGTTTAATTAACTACCAGTCCATTACAGTGGCTCTTTGAGTTTTGTTGTCAGCGCAAATAGTATATAAATTACCTAAATATGGTCTTTGTTCAGCTCCGTCTGTCAAAGACCCCGCTGGAATATTGTGGTAAGATGTAACATGTGACTTGAGTATGAAAGATCTATGAACCTGAGCCATTTCTAAAGAGTTTCCAGATTCCTAATGGTGACTTTTGCCCCTATATGCTTGACCAAAGATTACATTGGTTTGGTAGATAACTGGTTTGTTTACTTTCCACACAGATAGCTGTAGTGCCATCGATTTCCCATTTACAAGAGCATTAGAACTTCATTGTCTACAAGGGCAAATAAAGAAAATAAACAATTGAAAAAGTCACTAAATATTTTCCAGAGCATACTATGTGAGTTTATAATGTGATACAGCAAAGAACTTAAGATGTAAAGTGTTGCTACAGCGTGCAAAGAAACTCTCAGTATTATGTATTGACACAGCAATACAACAATATGTAAAAAGCAAATTTTATAATAAAGTAAAAATGTTTTGTAATCAGACAGACAAATATTTATGTATTCATATGTTCAATGGTATGTACATTATCTGAATTTGTAAGGTCTTTTCTTTGGTCTTGTTCATTTCTGTATTTTGTAATTATTTTGTAATATTACAAGTAGGGTCATCAAGCACAGTTTTCTTAATTTAAATTTTTTCCCCCTTCAGACTTATGAAGTAGAACCAAGTGAATATTGTCCTAAATTGGAGATGGAACAGTGTATGTGGTTGTAAAAACTGTTAACTTTGATGGAGAAAGGCTTGTGTTGTATCTGTGGGGTGTGAGCCTATTGTGTGTAATGATCTCCTGTTATACAACTCTCTCAAGCTGTCAACACACTGTTTGTCCAACTGGAATAACAAAGGGAAGGCTGAGTGTCTTTGAGTTCCACTTAGGAGGATTGCCATAGTGCCATGTCAGGTACAAGGGAAATTTCCAATTGCAATCTAACCTTTTTTTTCTTAGATGAATGATGCCCTCCTTCAGGGATGAGCTTTTAGTGCCATATCATCCTTGTTTATTTCACTTGATTTAGTAGCAACATGTTTAAGCAGTGTAGCAGTTGTTTTTTGTTGTTTTAGTTCCCCCCTCTGCCTTCATTTCAGGGCTGGTAAAAGCCTCACAACAACTTTGAGGGTGGTTTTAAAAACACTGAACACTTCACCAAGTCCTCCTGAGATGCATTGTGTTTTTTGCTGCTGAGAATGACAATCCTTATGTCATGTTAGGTGCAAATTCATTTAAAGTAATATTCATTTTTAGTTTTGATAATTTACACTGCACAAATCTTTCTACAATGCTTTTGTAAACATTTTTAGTGTTATTTGCAAAAAATAAAAAAATGTTACAATTCTTGCTAATTCTTTTGTCATGTCTGCTTTCCTGTTTGATGCATTTACAGAGGGACTCGATGAATATAAAAAAAGTTGGATTTTTTTTTTTTTTTTTACATTTTATATAAAATATTTTCAAAATATCAAGGCTGCATTTATTTGATCAAAATAAAAATAGTAATACTGTAAAAATATTACTTTATATATATATATATATATTTCCATATACTACATATATTTTCTACAGGCATTATGAATCACATGTTTCTTCAGAAATCATTCTAATTGCTGCTCAAAAAATAAATAAAAAATTATCAATGTTCAAAACTGCTAAATATTTTTACGAAGTCTTTCATTTTTTTAAATGATTATTTTATGAATACAAAGTTAAAAAAAACAGCATTTATTTTAAAAAGAAATCTTCTGTAGTATTGTCTTGGTGAAAAATTATCAATCCATAAATATATAAAAATCTTAGTTTAGTGTATCTTCTCCACAGACAGAACCCCACTCCAAAAAAAAGTAGTCCATGACTTGAGTACTATTTTCCAAGTCTACAAAAGCCTCTACTATTAACGTTATAGGGTTTGGAATGAAACTGTGGTGAGTAAATAATGGCAATAATTATTAATATTCATTTTTGGTTGACCTCTTTAATGGACTTACCTGTCTAAAGCTGAAGAATTCATTTGTTGTTAATGACTTGAATTGTGACGTTTCACTGAACCCCAGTTGAAGGACTTGATCGTTTTGTCACTTGTGAGATCTGATGGCCTATTCAAGGTCTTTAAAGGGGTCATATGATGTTGAAAGTTTTCCTTTCTCTTTGAAGTGTTACAAGCTCTTGGTGCATAAAGAAGATCTGTAAAGTTGCAAAGACTAAAGTCTCAAATCCAAAGAGATGTTCTTTATAAAAGTTAAGAGTCAGCCACACCTACCTAAAACGGCTCGTTCTAACACGCCCCCACATATCTTCGTCACTGTGTGGGAAGATTTGCATAACACCACCCAAATGTTCACGCAAAGAAAGAAGGCGTAACTTTTATTCTCACTGTAGTATTGTTGCTGCTGCCATGTCGTGAAGGCGCTGGGTGCTTTTTTGTGGAAGCAAAACTACTTTGTTTGGTCTTCCAAAAGAGGACGATATCCACTTCGTCATGCCTGGAGCTGATCTGTGCTGGTCGCTGAGGGAATACATCAACTTTCACCGTGGACGAAGCGGAGTCCAGCCCGGGGTCGTCACATGGTTGCCGCTAATTCGTCGCATCCGCCAGGTGCGCCGTTCTAGACCCCGCCGCCTCAGCTCACACTAGCCTGGCCTCAGCTCACTCTAGCCCGGCCTCAGGTCACTATATCCCGGCACGCTAAGCCGGGGCTTCCCCTCACGCTAGGCCGCTGTGTGTTTCGTTGTGAAAGCGAAACTACTTTGTTTGGCCTTCCAAAAGAGGCCACGACTAGAAATCAGTGGTTAAGTTGTATTTACAACACTGTTCCAGAACAGTTTAACCCAAATATCCAGATGTGTGCAGCACATTTTATGGAGGACTGTTTACTGATCCTGGGAGAGTAACGTTAGACTAAAATGCCGGCAGTTCTGACTCACAGTCTGTAAGTACGTTTTCATTTAAAGGATTTGCCACAGACGATTCAAACGCGAGTTTTGAGCAGTGTAGAGTAGCACTTGTTGTTTGTCATTTCTCCGATCACAAATGCAGACAGAGTTTTATGTTTACACGGCGCGATGCAATGCAACGCGTAAAAAGACAGTAGAAGTCATTATAATCAGTAATTATGTCTCCACTGGATGCAACAAATGCCTCGTTTGTAATGGGTTTTAATGTTTTTGGCTCGTCGCTCTGGCCGGGACACGCCATCAACAGTATGTGAGGGGAGTAACATTTCCATCACAAGCTTGAGGTATTCGGCCAATCACAACGCACTGGATAGCTGGCCAATCACAGCACACCTCGCTTTTCAGAACGATGAGCTTTGTAAAAATCAACGCGTTTCAGAAAGCACATAGAGGAGAAACAATAATGTACAGTATGTGGAAAATAATGTGTTTTTTTAACTTTAAACCGCATAAACACATTTCATTACACCAAATACACAAAATAATGTTCTTTTTAGCAACATCATATGACCCCTTTAATATCAGAGGAAATGAAGCAACAGTCCTGCGTCAGTCGAATAACCTAGATGTAAAAAGGTCTTGGCCGTTAAGACAACCAACCCATTTGGCCACAACTACAGAAAGTGTTGAAACAACTACTTTGGTGATAACCTCTGATAAGAAAGTGAGGTGTAGAGTGGGAGGTCTGACGAAACCTGACGAAAAAAAACGAGCTTTTCGTGATATGCAGTGACTCACAGCAGACATGTGAAGACTAGCGTTGTTTGATGGCTGTACTTGTCCATGCCTTGTCTTCCACCCACACACACACAGTCCCTCTTCATGTTAACAACAGAACCAAGAGCGAACAAGCAGACCGCGTTATGGCTCTAAACTCGTCTGAAACCACGGTCTTTACACAGACACATCAGCGCACCGCCTCCTAGCGGTGAATCGCAGTTAATAATAATCATAATCTTTGAGGAAATATCGCTAAATACTTCATCTGAGAGTCAATTTGAACTGCAATAAACATTAAATCAAGGTTTCCCAGTGTGTGTGTGTGTGTGTGTGTGTGTATTCTGATTTATTTATTAGGAACATTTAACAGATAAAAAAATAATTATAAGGGTTCACATTTTTACCAATACGTTTCTATGACTTTTCCATGACTTCTGAGACAATATTCATGACCCATTACCCATACCCATGATGTTCCATTATTTTACAAGTATACATAAGAATAAAAATCTATGCTCAAATTTATCATAGCATAGCCTATGTCAACTAAAATTAATAACGGTTAATGCTAGCCTACAGAAATATAGCCTGCATAAATTAAATAAACTGTAAATTAAAAACAGTTTAATCCTTAAAAGTAAAGTTACGAAAGTTATTTAGTCAAGTTTTTTTGTCTTTTGTAGTTTGATTAACATTAATGACAGATGGCATAGCTTTAATAGGCTGCTGTCCCTTTAAGACCGACTGCATAGATCCAATGTACTGATACACAACGGTTTCTTTCTCAACAGTTGCTTACATTCACCGACTATGTTTACAAGGATACTCGCCAGCACGAGCATTTTGACAATTTTGTGTGTATTTGGCCACTTAAGCGCAATAAGCTGCGAAAAATGACTCAATTTGGTACTCGCGAGGTGTTCTCTGGGTGGCTTTATGTATGCGTGCGCTTTTGGTGTGACTTGAGGACAAAGAAAACAGGAGCGCGCGGCTACCGAATGGTTTAAAAAGACTTAAAAATATGTGTAAATTATACCATTTTGTGACGATGCAACACTGGCCAGATTAGGCAGAGCCAGAGATTTGTGAAATAAATTTCCATGATTTTTCCAAAACTTTTCCAGGCCTGGAAATTTCCGCTTTAAAATTACATGATTTTTCCAGGTTTTTCATGGCCTTACGAACCCTAAATTAGGGAGATTAAATAAATTATGAATAATGAATTGCTATTGTGTGAATACTATGTAATCATGTAATCAATAAAAACGGCGAATATACTCCCTCTAACCTATGTTACTTTTAATTAAAAAGCCCTCTCCTTCAGTCAACATTGTGGGTAGAAAGGAAAGCCTCAGTCTGTTTTCTAGGACAATGCCTTTTATTTGCTTACAGCATCAGATTACAGAGCTCGACGCCAACATGCCTCTTATTAAAAAATAGCTCTTAAAACACACAAGTTGCAGAAAAAAGTTTTCAAACTCTGTCTACCTATTTACTTGCATACTTGCACATTTACACAGACATCAAATACATTATGTCCAACATTCAGTCTATGTTACAATAGTATGTCATTGAGTACTATCAAGATACTTTGATACAGAATATGTTAATACATTTCTCACAGGCAATGAAGGCAAATAGCCTACTAGAAGCCTCTTTATCTTAAACTTGTTTTCAGGGAGATAAAAACAAATGCATAAATCCTTGAAATATCAGCAGCTTGCAATACAATGTAGTATAGTAACGAAGCATGGAGAACATTGATCACAGAACATCCAGGTCAGGGATGGGCAACTTTGATAGTGACGAGGGCTAGCATTTTTTGTCCTTTATACCAAGGGGCCAGATTACTAATCCACATCCACACACCTTTTACACGGTCTTACTCAATTTCCTTTTTATTGAAGGAAAAGTATAACTAATGTAATTTGTTTTTAAAGATTTTATTAACTACAAAACTTGTGCAGTTATGCTAAGGAAAACAAATGTACAGAGGTGTTTTTTTATTAGTGGCCTACATAACATTCTCAAAACAACCTAAGAGGACAGTTAAAAAGGGCTTATTCCAAAAAAAAAAAGGTTATTCCAATTTCCGAATGGTAGCCTACCATAAAATAACCTGGTATCGGCAAGATTTTTCAAATCAAATTTAAGACCTTTAAAGACCCTTTTAAGATCTGCACTTCACATTTCAGCCTTTAAACAATTTTTAAGAAAAGGGATGAGTCAAAAGTATCAATTATTATATTAATTTAAACAATTATTTTCAATTAATTATTATATTAAATAACATATAGCAGGGTTCTCACACCTTGGTTAACTTCAAATTCAAGGACCTTTCAAGGACTTTCCAGGTCCAATACACTC